ACCGTATCGTCCGTCACGTCCTCGAACGACATGTTGGCGAACGCCTGATGTCTAGACTTATCCTTATCTTTCGACTTCTTGCTCTTGTCTTTCGATTTGTCCTTTTCTTTCACTTTCTCCGACTTATCCTTTGATTTCTCGGTTTTCTCTTTGGATTTGTCGCTCTTCTCTTTCGTCTTCTCTTTCTTTTCAGACTTTTCCTAAACATGAGCACAAAAATCAATAAAATCTGATTCTAAACATGCGATCCGTTTATAATAACAATTGAATTACTTTTTTGTCTTTTTTGCGCCACTTCTTCGTGTCGAGCACTTCCTCGTCGTTCTCGCAGCTGATGAGTCCGTCGATCTCGTCGTCATCGTCCTCCACTTCGTACTTCTTCGCAGTTTTGGACAACACTTTTGACTTTGGTTTCGATTTGACAATTGGTTTGACAGCTTTGATGGGCGACGGAGGGGATAGTGTCGACTCCGATGACTGAGTCGGTATGGAAGCGGTAGCCGTTTGATGGACTATCACTTTCTTAGGGGGGGAAGTGGTGGCCGCCAACACTTTCGTCGTCTTTGGCGGTACAGTCGGCCGCTGTGTCACCACATTTGGCGGTGGGAGCGGTGCTATCACTTGAGTGGCCGTTGAGTTACTCGCGAACGGAATGGCACCGAACAGGTCTTGAGATGGCTTTGAGGGCTCTGTTTGTTGCGGTGGTTGTTGTTGTTGTGTCTTAAGTTGTATTTGTTGTTCATTTGTAACCATTCTTTGTTGGTATGGGAGGGCAACGAGTCTCGGGAACTGTTGTTCATTATTGAGTGGCTTTTGAGAAGAAGTGCTTTGTTGTGATACTTGTTGTTCGCTATAGTATTGCTTTTGATGGCTTTGGTGTTGATCTTCACACTAAACACAAACAAATTCATTCATTAAAAACGCTAAAAATTACTCAAACAACACATACAGTAACTAATTGTTGTTCAGTGAATGGTTTGGAACCAAAGAGGTCTTTGGGGCCGACCATAGAGTCCTTCACTACTTGTGCCCTCAGATTTCGTGCCACTTCTTCGTCGATCTCATCGCCGGAAGTGGTCGTCTCGACTAATCTGATGTCTTCGGACTCCATATCAGTCTTATCGCTCTTTTTCTTGGCCTTTGAGTGCGGTTTTCTGAAGGGCGCCGAAGCGAACACATCGTTGGATAGGGTGGACAGTGAGGGCATGTGATGACTGGCGCCGGCGATGTGTATCACTTGCGGCGACGAGTCGTCCTCCTCCTCGCACAGCAGCGGTTTGTCTCCGTCCACGTGACCAATGAGTAGGTCATCGCTGGATATCAAAGTAGGCTTTGGTTTGGACCCACGCGACGGCTCTTTCAGTTTGATTTCAATTGCCGTCACTTCTTGTGCAAAGTCTTCGTCGTCCTCGTCCTCATCGATGCCATCGTCCGGCGTCTCCTCCGAGTCGCGTAAATCGGATGCGGAACCGATTGAATCCCTTTCCCCTTCGCCTACTTTAATATATTTAATGAAATTCTTATGAAATGATATCATAATTGTATGGATCGGTTGTTGAAGAGATAAGAGGGATAGACGTCTGATTCGAGCCGTCAGTTAATAAATGAGTATTTCATACAAATGTTGAATCAATTTATTGGTGATATAATAGAGAGGATGTCATAAAAGTGTAAAAATATAATGACTAATGACTTAAGGAGGGAACTAATCGCAGAATCCAAATACTATTATCATATCATATAAATGACTGTCAATACTATACTGGAAAACACTAATAATTGATGTGCTCTTGAAATCTATACGATATATCAATATTAATTAATTTCTAAAACTACTTCGCAACTCATGCAATGATACATAAAAATTATATCAATTTACACAATATGTTTACTTCAAAATATTTTTGTTTATAAGTTCCGAGAATTACATTTTAATCACTTATTCACTTATATAATACAAGTTGTATTCATACTGTATATTATTTATTTATATTTTATTACAACTAAAATAATTTATTATTAACTGCTTTTAAGATAAGATAATTAAATAAAAGACTGATATTGAACCCAAAACTCAGACACAATTGAGACAAAATTATTTTCATGTCTGAATAATTATCTCAAATAATCAAATATTAATAAATTAAGTTAAAATCCTATTAATCATTAGTGATTAAGTTGTAAATAAGTTATAATTCATAATCAAATGTGTGGCGAAAGTATCTATATATAGACGTATGAAAGGATGGCTTACATTCGGGATCGTCATCAGGATCTGCGTCGAAGAACTTCTCGTATTTAGAGCGGTCTTCTGCCGGGGCTTTCGCGAAAGGGTTCGCCCGAATGGAGCCCTCATTGGAGGCCACCGTCGACTGGGATGTAGTGGTCGACGTCTCCGATGACTTACGATTCCGGAGTGGTATCGAAACGGGCAGTGATCTCAACTCATGGCCAGAGTTGCCATTGTTTGGATCGTCGCCCTCTTCGGCGTCGGAGGAATACAATGGCATATAAGTAGTCGGAACTGATATACCTTTAAAAACAAGAGTCCAAAACAATTACGACAAATTCAAACACCAAACCTAAACCTCTGACCTATCAGTCGTTAACAACAAATCTAACAAATGATGGCATTTTGTACTCAACTAATGCTCGCCTAAACTATTTTCTCATTAATTTTTCAAACATTTATATATCGTATAGAGAAAATCTGGCAACACTTTGGCTATAGCTTTGTGGTACTAAATGTATGATAAAAACAATTGTTTGTATGAGAAATGAATTATTTATTCTCGCATTACGGTAATCACATCCACTGCTCATCTCTAAGCAAATCATATGATTCGCACATTAAATATAAATATAATTTTGACTCAAAGGAAATTAAATATAAATTATTGATTCAAATGCACCGAAAGAGTGTTTCCATTATAAAGAGAGAAAATAATTCCACATTTTAGTGTAAATCTGATAAAACTATCCCAAAAATGTTAACCCAAATATAATAGAGGAATGGCATGCAATAACTACAACCAAATAGTTTTTGAAAAATTTTTATTTTAGAATTAAAAAAATAATTATATAATCATAATGAAAACATAATCTTTAAGAAATAAAATAAAATAAACAAATAAATTGAAAATTAGAGAAATAATAAGCCAATGGATTAGAAATTAGAAATAAAATCAACAGAAATTCTTGATTAACTCATAAATTCAGTATAAAAACGCATAAAAAGCTAATCAAAGAAAGACATTATCAAAATTTGCTTAATATTGAGCTCCAAGTAATGTAAAGCACTATTAGATTTTAAATATCAAATAAAATCGTGATTTATATTAATATAAAAAGCGTTTTGGATTATTGTGAACACAATGACTGGTCTATAGATTACATCCAAAAATCATAATTACCTTTATTTGCATTAGTATTAGTGGATAATAAATTAAAATCATTCAAATCGTGCGGTTTGTCTAACGATAGTTTCAGTAAATCCTGCTTTTCTTTGTGTCTTCGCATCTTTTGCGGATCAAATGGCGCCGAACCGAACGGATCGGCTTCCGGTGTCGCCGAAGACATGACTAGATCTTCCCTACTCTTCACGTTTGATATGCCTTTGCATTCAAAATAACAATAAAAAGCAAATTAAATGATACAGTAATGACTGTCATTAGTGACTGGAGGACAGGGATGCTGACAGGTTAAGCGCTTTCTAATAGCTATTTGATGGTCGAACTACTCACTGCTTTGGGAACCTTTGCGTATTTTGTCGAATTCGTGGCCAAACGTCTGGTCATCAACCGATATATCGGTCGTCTGGGGCCGGAAGTCCTCCTCGAATGGATTCCATCCCTTACTCCCGGTGTAGGTGTTCTGAGAGGACAATGAATTGCTGGTATGGAGTGTGTTGTCTGTGTTGACTAATTGGACCAAATCTTTGCTACTGAAGCCAGAGGTGTCCGAAACGTTGCGCCGATGGGACGAATGCATATGCGGTGAAGGGATACTTCCTATACAGTCAATGAGCCA